TGTATAAGAGACAGATATATATATATATGTGTGTGTGTGTGTGTGTGTGTGTGTGTGTATTTGATATAGGCCTATAATTGGTCTTTACACATTGCCAAAAAAATATATATATAATACACGTACAATAACTACGGGTAGATGTCAAAATGTCAAAATGTCTTGACAACATTCCGGAGCGTTAATAAAACTTAATTGACCAATCACAACGTGTTATTTAACAGCTAGGAATACGCGCATGTCTCACAAACACGCAGCTTTATGTACGGTCTCATACCTTAGCAACAGTATCCAAGGAGAGGGCTTAGTGGAAAGATCAATCCCGATCGTTTCAACTCAGCGGCAAGACTTTTTTTTTACCAAGAGCCAACCGAAACTACTCTTAACCCTTTATAGGTCACGCTTGTATCTATCGTACGCAGCGGAGAAATACTGGACATGTCACGATCTCATGAACGAATGTATTTAATGTGGAGTTGAGAATCATCACGATACAGTTATTACGAGAAGGCTGGCTACATTTTGGCCGTGTTTTCGTAGCTTCTAAATTAACCGTTAAAAGGTATCCGTGTGTTGTGTGTGCATATGCGACCTGTGGATAATTAAATGATAAATGTTTAATGGTTTATTCGAATGCAACGGGAACACGTCCTTGAGTGGTATTTACACCCGATGCAAAATATAGGAAAAGGTTTGGTAATGACAAAACGAATTCAGAAAACTGACTTAATGACTAATGCATTCTGACTCGACTCATTACGTTATATAGGTAAGCATTACAATTATTATAGAAAGAGAAACACTTGCGAGTAAATTTTATTTATTTTTTGCCATAATAAAATACTTTTCAAGGTCAAACTTACTTATTGGGAGCGGTTTGTGCAGCTTCGTTTCGGACCCTCCCAGTCCTGAGGTCGGTGGTTTGAACTCTCGCCGTGAATTTTGTAGCACTCTATCAGTCGCCCACCACCACCCCCCCCCCCACACAATTGAAAACATCCAAAGCAAAAAAAAAAAAAAAAATCACGCTCATGTGGGTTAAAATCACTTTATTTTGCGATCTAGCAACCCCTCAGTTAATCAACGAGCTCCCCCCACCCTCAACCTTTTCTCCACATCAGGCACCTTCCCCTCACCGCCTAGATGCGCTACTGATTGAATGTTTTGTACTTTGCGCCACCTAGCAGCCGTGGCTCCCGTGCGATATTCCACAGAAGCTGATAAGGTTGCACTTAGTACCGGTTACCAATTCGTGAATCCAACGTCCAGGGGTAATAATGTTACAAGCGCTTTGAGACTCGACTTTGTACTGTAAAAGGCGCTGTATAATTCGAAACATTGAAACATTACGGTATCATTTTTTGTGGTTCGCATCCATTTATCTTTTATAATCGTTTTCACCTATACCAATCAGACGTAATTTAATACCGGTAATTATTAAAATCAATTACTAGTAAAGGTCAAAACGATAAGCAACATATATTCGTATAAGTGATGAGAAATAAGGAAAACTCAACAGTTCTATCGAAACATTAATAACCATATTTAAAATGATCACATACGCTGTCAACTTCCAATGATATTCAAATCAAAACAAATCAGTTTCTGCTGATTTGCAGACAAAAATCCATATATTAATTACCATGGCAATTTAAACGTCTACGCAAATAATATGAATAATATTTCCAATGCGTCTGTTAATTTGCGAGTAAAACGTTTCTTGTTGCAATTTCAATTTAACACTTAAAAAAAGCGAAATTATACAAATTATTCAAATGCTAAATTTTAATTCGATGTCGTACAAAATATTAGTTTATGTCCAAATAACTACTATAATCCTGCCGATCGCCGTCATGGCAATTTTTGGGCAATACATTATACATTATTTTAAAAGGGTAATATTCAATCATTACAACACATAGAGTAAAACAAAATTGTACCACCCTTACTGGGTTATTTAATTTATTTTTTTTAGTGCTCGCGTCCTTCATAAGTTAATAATTATAAATATTAATATTAATAATTTTAATAATAAATTGGAACATTTGTATAGTGCGGTTAGAAACATTTTTACTGGTATGATGATAGGCCTCTTTAGGTTCAAGTATCTTGTTGTATTACCAGTACAGAGAGACGCAGACAGAAAATTAGTTTACTCTGTCTACGGAGGCTTTGACATGTCATTCAACCGTTTGTTGTAGTCTGTGTAGTATTTAGTTGCTACTTTAACCTATGTTGATGCAATTGCAAGTAGGAATTTAGCCCTAAGTGGTAGCATATCGACAGGAGCAAAGTGGATGCTGTGGTTACCCTTTAAATCAGTTCAGTTTGCTTTAATATCTAATATACAAACTGGAGTGCGGTCACTCTTATGCCAGTTACTCACTGCGTGCGACGTCGACGAAGAACGCACGCGAAGCGGACCCAACGGATCGTCTTTTAATGAGGATCCGTTCAGATTGCCACTGACAATCAGCAGACGGCGTTGCGTCGTCTATCGCTCTCCGGAAGCAAATGTGGATTCGTCGTGCGACGGTCGTACGGCGGAGTGAGTATCCGGCTTTAGAGGGCATACCACCTTCATCCTGTGCCTGCCGGATAGTGCACTCTTTGCGTTTATGGGCGACTCCATTATTTTCTCGAGGGTAAGTTTTGCTTGTTTTATTTTTTCGAATCTATGACCTTTTCATTTTTACTGCAAAATGTAATCAGCTCTTCTCTAAATCAATATGTTAAATAAATTACTCAACCAACTTTTATGTAATGCATTCGTTAGTGTTTTTTTACGTAATCCCTGTTAGCAAACACACAGATAGACATACAGACATGAAACATTGAAGGTTAATGTGCCGTGTTAAGACCATACCGCACGTCGTTATCTTTACATTTCAAGGTGAAATTACGATGCGTCTGTAGAGAACATTTCATGACATCAACTTCTTTTTTTTTCTTCTCTGTTGTTGTTAAGCGCCTCGAGATTGTGTCAACGTGAGACGCTATATAAATCCAGAATTATTATTATTATTATTAATGTTAACACACGAGAGATTAGGGAGCTTTCGATTTCATGATGACGGTAGGACGTCGAACGTAATGACGTCACTAAAAGTCATCTGCGCATGCGAGAACGTTAAGGTCACCTCGTCGAGTAGATTCTGGAACGCAATTTGGCCAAATCTACGTATGCAGAGAACGTAGGACCCCAGGTAGGACGGTCACGCATGAGTGATTCCGTTCTAGCGTCGCGTCGTCGCACAAGTCGAAAGCTCCATAAGCCTGGTTCTCACGAGTTCCTAGTATCCGGATCGGGAGTTAACCGTTAGCGCTAACCGTTAGCACCTGCGTGAGAACGCCCGATCGGTTAGCGCTAACCGTTAGCAGTATCCGGATACTGCTAACGGTAAGCAAGCGCTATCGGTTAGCAAGTGAGCACGTTTTTATCATCAACCAATCACACGTACGCGTTTACAATTTCCAGTTTCTTATTGGCCAGTGATTCGATCATCATATTTTTGGTATCCGGATCGGGATTTTCTCGTATGGACGCACGGCAGCTAACGGTTAGCAGGATCCGGATCCTGCTAACCGTTAGCAGCCATGTCAATTGGCCTTTTGGGAATGTATTGTGAGACCTTAGCAACAATATCCAAGGGGCGGAGCGGTGCTTAGCGGGAGGGTCTATTGCCAGTGGATGTAGCGGAGGATATCACATGACACTGAACTACAGTATATCACGATTTACTATCCGATAATACTGTGAAACTGTTTACCTTTATGACTTTTTTTAGACGGTGACATCGTGTGAAATACATGTCATTTGGCAATCTTCCAGACGGGAATGACGTATAGAAATTTTAAAATGATGACGTCATATGAAAAATGAGTCTACTATTATGTCACGTGTTAAATGGAAATTCAATTTTGATTAATGGCGATATCAGTTGACAAATTAATGGACGATATAAAATATTATGAATATAAACTGGAGAGGCAGGTGTCCTCATAATGTCAAAGAAACGGTGTCAAGGGACAGCAGCGGAATTGATTTAAGACAATATAAAGAATGACAATGCTGCCACCAAAGAAGACAGTGATATCATCATCACAAAGGTAAGAGAACAATTCTGGAAATTACGGTGAAAGGCGGTGACTTTTTTTTAAAATCACAGTAGACAATTACGTCAATGCTGTCGCAGACGATGAGATCATCATTATTTACTTTCTTCGATAGGAATACATTGTTAAGTATATTATCATATCATATACAA